ATACAGCTGTTGGCGGTACTCCTCATAGGCAAGCACGAACCGGCAGCGCCAGCACCAGAGGTCATTATTATAACTTAAGGATATGAATTTGCATTTAAGACAAAGTATGACACAGTCTTGTCATTCTAGCAATCCGATGCTCACACTAATGACCACTAGTTCATTACCAGACCACTACTACACTTTCTATACAAATTCGGAAGAAACAAGACTCATTTGATAACCAAAAATGAAATAATACATATTCATGAATGTACATATTTTCCAAAAACTAGTAATATTCACAATACCAGGTATGTCCCATATATAGTTTCTTTGGTGTATTTTGTAGCCATGCCCGAACTAGTATTATCCCACAAGCTGACAACAGGTCACGTTCCAATCCATAGAAACTGATGTCTGTCCATATGTCTTTCTAACGCCCGTTTCTTTCTCTCTTGATAACGTGCATTCCTCCAAACACCTCTGTGAAGAAGCATGATCCAACATCTCTTATAATGCCCCTTTCTAGGTTAGGAATTGTGTACATTGTCTTGAATGATATCTTCTTCCCACCACATTTGTCTATTTATAGTCCATTATACATGCTTTGCATAAACAATGAGGACACTCATCTGCATCAGCTCTCTGTTGGATAATTGACTCGGGGTCATCATCAGGGTCATTAATTTCCGGCGCAGTTGTAACTGATGTTGTTGTCTCGGCTTGGGGAACTTCTATCATAACCCAGTTGTGCTGATGAAAAGAACTGAAAATAGTTTCTCGCTGCAAAGGCGTTAGCATCAATGTTGAGAGACAGTCTTTCTTCTTCAACTTCCATGTTCACTGCATCTTGATGTCATACTATATCTCACAGCTTTCTCAAGACTTTTCCCTTGAAGTAACACTCGTGATAATTGATAGTTTACAGTAAAGATAAACAAGTTGGCAATTTTCAATGTCAGCAAGGACAGTGGCAAACAGCTAATTGAGACTTCATGTCATACACACTGTCAGAAAATGAGATTCTCTTACCTTGAAAAATATTACAATATTGAAACTGTCAACATAGAAAGTATTTTTGGCCACATTGAAGTCATCTGGATACTTGAAAATGACTCCTTTCATTAATGACATGGTGAGCTTGTGAGCACCACGCGTGACGGTTCACAGTTTAGATCTTTCTTGCATCTAGATGAAGGATTGCTGTCTGAATGATTGTTTTTGTAATGTTCGATGTTCGATCACATTTATGAGGGAAGAATTCAGATTAGCACTGTCACCGCAACAATTCCGAATGGCATGATGAAAGTGTGTCGTGACAGGTTGCACTTTGTCAGACAGCTGTTGTAATGCCAGGTGCCGCCATGTTTGTGTTTTGGCCCACTGTATACAGTAGAAAGAGATTTGGCTACCGGTTTTCGTGTCATTTTGGTTGATTGTAGTTTCACTGTCTCGAATGAATTTACTAACAGATACACTTCTGCCACGTGTGTGTGTACTTCAACACAAACATCTTTCTCTTCCAGGTAATCATAGATTTCTTCAGTTCCAATCTTTTCATGTCTCTGAGAAACAGGATCGTTCTGTTTTCTGATATGTTGGCATGCAATCACCATCTGTGTGTAATCGCCAATCGTAACAACACTAATGTCCTTGGCATTTCCCCGCCAGCCATGCTGAGCATCTGTTATGATATTTATGCCATCTAAATCTTCATAAGAAGCTACTTCTTCTAACAATGCAGTTTCACCCGAATCCCTAGACTCTGTCTGAACACAGTTCTTATAGGTGATAAGCTGTCCTTAGGTGGTAAGCTGTCCTCTATACTTAGGTGACAGATTACCAATCCCTGCAGCTGAACAGAACCTGCTGTACTGGACTGGTAACATGCCACAGCTGTAAAAAACCACATGTCCAATCTTTTCATTCACCAGGAATGTGTTGTCTGGAAGGTAGGTAAATGACGATAAACGATATTGGTGTGACTTGCGGCAGCATACTTTCATCTTCATATCATGGTCTCGATAACCGATTTGGGCAACAGTTAATTTGTTGGAGTATTTTCGTACATGCTTTTCCGCTACATCCAGGCACATTTTCATGGATGATTCAGATATTACAAAAAATCTGTCAGGTGTGTCACCTGGTCCAGCTGTCAGGTGTGTCACTGGTGGATCTGATGGTGGATAAGGAAGAGAATTTATTGATGTCAACTTCTTCATTATGAGGAACACATCGTTTCAGTGTATATGCTTACTTCTTCATCAGGTGAATTCACCTGATAAAGGAGTAAGCATATATTCCGAAATGTTGTCTTCATAGTGAAGAAGTTAACATCCATAAATTCTCTTCATTATGTGTATCACTTCTAAATGCCTCTAAAAGACATGATGTTGGAGATGATACGATTATACCCGGTCCAGAACATCGGTATTATAAGCAGGCATGCTGGTGTCTGCTTTCAGGTGAGCTTTCACCTGTTTCGATTTTTTTAAGCAAACCTTCCTTGACTTCATGATCACCTCGTACTTCAATTGTGAAACGAGCTGGTCGCTTACTTTGATCCAACTTGTGAGGACATTAGTATGGCGTGGTAGAAAACAAGAGATGTCCAATTTATTCGGATAGTTGGAGTCAGTGAACAGCGGTCAGATCCCGTAGTAATCACATGCAGAAAGCAAGGTTCATTTTGGGTTTTGGGGGTTCAGATTGGTATATTATTATTAGGGTCTTGTGTATTTTAGTTTATTATAAAGAACGTAGGACAACAAAGGTTAACCATCAAGTAGAATGAAAATTAACTAGTTGAAGTGTTGGTAATGATAACAAAGATACCAAACAAATATCATCTCCTCCAGGTAGAATCACATGTTCTTGCTGGCGTCAGTGTCAAAAGTACACTCCCGCACAAGCAAGGGGTCGGGGGTGAGAGTGAAGAAGGGGTGGGAGTCAGTTTCACTGCCTTTCCGGGGAGAAAGTGAAATATGAAACCCTGAATGACATTCTTTCCTCCACTAGAAGACATGTTGCTATGGAAACAAGCCTCCTCTGGTCACCTGACTGATACAGTGGCAAATTCAAATCAGGATTACAATAAGGGGGAAATATTTCCAAATGTACGTTTGTAATGTATCTGCATCAATACTTTTCGCAGTAAGTTTCATAACATCCTTCTTTGTACTATGGCTTAATATCATACTGAACTGGTAAGACTGGTAAGTCGATTTTGTGATATTTCATGAATGTATCAGAAGGATCAGGGGCGAAAACAAAATCAGTGTAAGTTGTAGGGAAGGCTTTTTAGTTCCCCATTTCGGACAGTTGACTAAAATATCACTTCAAGAAACATTAATAACCGCAAGGTTGGGACATTGTTCAGATAATTCGTTCAGAGTTTCGTGTGTTTTCTAATATCCCTTTTTATTTTCCAATGAAAGGTTTGGATTGATGTTTGTCATTGAAACACCATAAGCCTACTATTCTGAGGGATGTTGGAGATTTTAGTGTTTAGTGCTTTTTGTTCCGGTAATCTAAAAATTCGAGTTGTCAGCCATCAAATTCTCTCAAGTATGTTTCAGATTGATAAAGCTATGAAGAATAAACGTTTTAATTACTTTGAATTATTATTATCTGTTATCAGAGAAGACACCTATTTACAGTACATGTGTATAGCAACACCTGACCTTCATAAACATGTATTTATAACCTTTTGAAATACACAATCAGTTTGGGCGTGAGGGTTTGGGTATCATTCAAACAGCAACACCTTCGCGTTTGTTAGATGTTCAGATAAATTAGGAAAACAAGTTGACAACCATGTCAATTTTACGTCTGTACAATCAGGTTCATAATTGGCAAATTGTTACCTGAGTTTGACATATTTGCAGCTATGAAAAATTTAAGGTGTACTTACTTTGAATACAATACATTATTATCGTTTCTTGTAAGAAAAGAGAACCTTTTGTTGCATGTATTTTCAGTTCAATCAAAACAAATTAATGACCTTCATACATTAATAACCTCTTAAATATAAAACGTCAACGCCCGAGATTAATCAGAATCGATTATGTGCCGAAACAGGTTCCATTGGTCGTAAAAGGCAAAATGGCAGTGAAAATTAAATGAATTTATTACTGAAAATGTGTCAGAAGAGGGTAACAATTTCCTGCCTGTCTGGTAGCACCGGCCACTCGCACAGTTTGCATAGAAAATAAATGTTAATTCTCCTGCCATACGACTCGTATCTAATATATCACCATGGAGCTACTATTTCTTGTTTCATTACTACCTTCCATCAAGTAAGGCGTATGCTTTCTTTTTCTCGAGAGTTTATATTTATCTTCTTGAAATTAAATTGTTAGTGAGGGCCTCATTCAAATGTTCGCTCACGGCACCTACGATGTTGTCAGATGATATTCCTTATACATTCAACATGCATCAAGAACCCCAATGTTATGTGCAAATTATATTTCCCAACAGCATCGACGAAGGGAAGATCTATTATACACCCTGGGAGGTTCTTCGAACCAAGATATTCTATCTCACCTGGGTCATTTTTTTCTGCTTTGTACTTGGTATCTTCTTCGTCACCAACTTTTATAAGGTATGGACGGGTTGGCATTGTGAAGGTAAGAATTTGTAACACGAACTAACTGTAATACATTATACAAAAGCAGAATCATCAGATTACATGAAACATGTTTAAACTGTCAAATCTCTAATAAACATTTACCGCACCAGGCGATCCAGTGATTTTTATCCCGATCAATGATCCACGCCGTCAGGGTAAGACGATAGGCAATCTACCACAGTGGGGGGATTTTGAATCGAGATTAGATGTGGTAGCATGTAATAAGTAACCTTCACTTATTACATGCTACATCCTGATACCTGCTTATCGGCTTGTAAATATGCTTACTAATACTGACTAAAGTTTGACAAAGGAAATGTCTTTCAAACATGGGGGTGTATTTCTAATGTCATGCATGTTTTGATACATATGGAGATGTGATGAAGTTACTGGATCAACTATATTTGTTTCAGACATTCTCCCAAACATTCATAAAGGACGATCACTTCCTGTCTCTAGCTGGGTCAGTCGGTTCCGTCGCGAATGCTTTGGGTCGGCCGTTCTGGGGAGCAGTGGGTGACCGGCTTGGCTATAGGGTAAATATAAAGCATGTTGATAGAATTGAGTGAACAACATTTCATTTCAATAGCAACGTTTCAGCGTGTTGTGTGAGGAACGCCCAAGGCTGTATGGGTAATAGACATTTACCACATGGTGAAACTAAGAGTATAGCCACGATGTACACAGACCAAATATAAGCAGCAGCGCGAATCGAGGATTGTTACCTTTACAGCGAATTGTGTCACCTTTGCTGAAAATTATTACCAAAAATGCATTCGACATTTCCACTCAAAACATTGGTGATCATGGTCACACCATTCACGGCCGTAGTGAGGCTTTCAACTCATTTTATGGTAGACATGTCCACTAAATGTCCCAATTTGACGCATCAGTGACCAAAATGAGGACCGTTCAATTCCCTATTTTGACTTGTATAATGTTTCCCCGTGTTTGTTCAAGTGAACATTAGACTTTCTTTTGCATGTATTTGTGACGGATGCCAGTGGTAGGGCAGGTATCTTTCATTAATCAATAGCTTTATGTAATACATCATAAACACATCCTTGTGATATAGTCGGGATCGTTTAGCAGATATGTCTTATTATCATTAACATGGTGAACATGTTTTACAAATAATTTATCACGTTACATGCCACATATCAAGGATTGGAAATTGTTATCTGAGGGAATATTACAACTAAGGGACAATGTTCCAGTATCTTAAACATGCCAAGGGTCAAATCGATCACGCCCCTCGGACATAATCCAGGACCAGTATCAGGCAAACAAATTTAAAGCGTTAATATGTTTATCCGTATCTACAGCTGTGTACCATCCACTTTTATCAAGTGACAGGTACCACGTTTACATTCGTGACATACTAGCAACTTGTAAGCCTTTATTCACTCATTAACACCTTTATCACCAATGCCTCGGTCAAACTAAATTATTTAGTTCTGTCGAAATAGAGCCACTAGAATTCACTATAACAATCTTATCGTCACTTTAATCAGAAAATGAGATTATCTGTAGTTGCTATAGCTAGAATAGATATATATATATATGGACTGTTTATTGACTCAGGAAATAAAAATTGTTACGATCTTGTACTAAGTTAAATCTGAACTATATGCTTTTACGCGTGGCAATACCTGCAAGTTTATTCGGTAATTGAAAATGTCATACTTGCGTGTAAATCTTAGATATTCCTATTGTAAGAGATGTGCATCCCTTATGTTCATAGATTATGTCAATTGTGTTAAATTTATTACGTTGTTTACCTTATGGAATTAAGTGTGGCTGAACTAGTATGTATCTTGTGTGAATGCCCACTCATGTATTGTATTAGTTAGAGTGTGTTAGTTAGAATGTGTCGGGTATACTATATTCAGGCCTATGTAAACTGCTATATCACGTTGTTTACCTCGGACTATGTATCGTGACTAGTGTAGTATGTTACTTCTGTAATCATTCCATATCATGTTCATCTGATTTTCTTCGCATATATGTACTTCTATAACTTATCGTTTAACTGATTCTCTAATAATTGATTGTTGGCAATCTATTGCTGACCGATGACATAAAAGAATGATTCTGTGGCTGTCTTATAAACAGACTGTTTATTCATACAGGTCTTGTGTTGTTGTATGGATTGATCGTGTACAGCGGTACCAATGCTAATCGAGCTGATACCCCAACTCTCGCTTTGTAATATGATTAGGAAAATGTATTGGTCGCTTTTATTGGCATACAACGTTGTGGATGTACATGTGGTTGTCAGTGCCACTGTCACCTCTTTAAATCTCTCCATGAATATTTTTCGTCCTCTAGAAGTTGGGCAAGTCTCTGGTTATAAGGTTCATAGAACTCCTCTAATATCGTCCTGGTGTCATTGTTCATATTGCCGATGTTGCGGCTGGACTTTGGCCTCTGGTTGATTTGTGTTTTGCCAAGAACGTCCATCCATTCAGATTCAGACAGTTTACCTGAGGGCAAAAGAGATCCTGCAATATCAAGGCTCCATGTTCCGACTGAGACATCTATCTATAATAATATAATAAGTTTTGTTGTTTTACTCAGCAATATTCCAGCTGTAGGATGGCGGACTGTAATATGAACAACGTCCTACGTTGTCGGGTGCGATCAGACAAGTCATGCAGCCTGACCACCCGATCCATGTTGTCACCTGACGTGGTTTCACTCTGACCAGGTTCCAAACGGGGTCAGGAATGACAGAACGGGGTCAACATTGCATATTTTCAAATGTCATTGTCAAAATATTCAATTGCATTAAAAATGTAACAGTTACAATGTTTATTTGTGTTAGAAACGGTAACGTCCCGCGCTACAGGGGTGCTATGTCACGCGCTCTACAAAGTCACCTCTTACGGCAAGTGCCGAGTACCCATGGGTAACAAGACGTTTAGGCAGGACATGTTTCACCAGTGTTGTCAGGGCAGCATGGCCAGATATACAGCCAACCGATAAGCAAGGGGTATCTAGGACTAATGCCTCATCACTCTACCCGCATTTTGTAAATGGACATTTAAACTTACAATCTAACCAAATGCTTTCCTCCCACATCAAACTGGCACACTGTGATATAACTGGAGAATGTCACTCTCCCAGTAATTAGACGTCAACTTCCCTTGTTGTATTCTAAACTATGTTGATGATGCATCTTTATTGGTACTTACTCAGAGAAAGAAAGTCAAACAGTTTTTTCATCTCTCCACGTGTGTCTGCGACGTAATCCTCAAACCTGATCACGTGTACCTGGTCACGTGGAAACACTTTCAACCAATCCTCGAGGAAGGCGTGGTATATTCCAATGATTGGACGAACCTTGAACAATAACATACAAATTAGTCTAACACCATTTCAGAGAATGCATCTGATATCGATGTTACTAATCAAATAATGAAAATAAAAGGAGCCTATATTTAACAATAAGTTGTGAGTTGGTTTTACGCTACTTCTAACAATGTTCCAGCAATGTCACGGCGGGGGACACCAGAAATGGTCTTCATACATTGTACCCATGTAGAAAATCGAACCCGGGTCTTTGGCGTGACAAGCGAACGCTATAACCACTAGGCTACCAAACCTTACCTCAACAAAGACTAAATTAGTGGCTAACCAAAGAAAACAACTGTTGCGTTTATGTTTCCTGATTGGTTGATAAAATAGTGAACGGGATTTGTGTTGCATCATTGCGATAAACGTCACGGTTTTCGTATAGTTGTCTACATTTTTGTGTTTTTATTGATTAAATAATCAGCTATTACACTTGATTTTATTTATATGACACATCGGTTTTTAATTTTATATATCCATGAACGCAAAATATATTGAAATAAATTCTTCAAAGAAACCTCATTGAATAGATTCAATAGATGGTCATGAGTAGGCCTAAGCAAATGCTCCTATTTCAACCCATGAGAAAAATGTTATTCACTTTTACGTAGTTTCACTTACAATGGACACTGCATTCTCCAACTTTGAGTCGTAAATACAGCGCCTTAGGGAATAATGTTTCAAACAACCTTTGAAACGATAAATGGCCTCAATGATCCGTTTGTGAAAGCCCAGTCTATCTGGCGTGTATTTGAGGTATATGTGCTCAAATAAGTAGTCGGAATAGACTCTGAAATAATAACAATACATGGTGTTAGGTCATCACATGAATGCGAATAAAGCTGACGATGAAGGTATAAAGTGACAACTGGGAGATTCCAGAATCAACCAGTCAACCATTAAAGATGCATCGGGGTGGATTCCCCGTGAATATATGATATAGTTTCGGGATGTTAGAACAAGCAAGCTACCAACTCAGATAGATTGACAAGAGCCGGCGAAGTGTCCACTCTACACATCATTATGCATCCCTCTGGCATCCCCAACGTCTAAACGTTTGGCTTGGATTTTTTTATGTAAAGGATCTTATCTGATGGATGGGAGGATCCACACGAACACAGTATGAGTTGATGTAGGAGACAGTGACGGAACTCTTTTAGTTATGTTTTATTGTTTTTTAAACGCCCAATTCAGCAATACGCCAGCTGTATGACGGCGGTCAGTAATCGAGTCTGATCCAGTGACGGATACATGAGCATCGATCCACGCAACTGGGATACGATGACATGCATCAACCAAGTCAGCGAGCCTGACCATCCGATCCCGTTAGTCGCCTCTTACAAGCATGGGTTGCTGAAGATCACTTCTAACCGGAGTTTAAAGGGTTCTCGCCATGATGTATGTGTAAATGCATACAGGGAAATGTTGCATTCTACATACGATAAGAAATTGACATCCCTCCTAAACATGCTTAATGTCTTCATAAAAAGACATACAGACATGTTATATGTATCACTTGCTATCTATATATAACAAATACATTTACATACATGTATGTTATATTTAATTATTCTATGAAAAAAAGAATGCAAATGAGAGCCTTAAGGATGATCACGTCAAGGGTTGAATTTGTGATATTACAAATGTTATTATTCATATTGCTCTGACATTCTGATCATGTGTTTCTGTCTTTCCAGTGTCATCCATGTGTTTTACAAATGCGTAATTTATTGTAAGTAAATTTTAATGGTAATAGAACGAGGACGACACCCGCTAGTCACTGATAAACAACATCCTTACAGAATGTAGAAAAACTTGCAAATAATTATTTACGTTAATTACAATATTAAACATACTACGCACCTGTCTACTGGATTCCTGAGTGACACAATGATCTTGGTGCCAGGGTTAAGGTGGTGTACGTAGTCGGCGTTAGTAAGACATGGCTCTGTACACTTGTTGTTGCGGGGCAGCTCCTGCCACAGATGGTTGTCCCACATGATGTCAACACTGCCTTCACCTGTAGAGACAAGGTGGAACAGAGGTTTGTCACACGACCTTATACATCATGTAAAACACCTTCTGTAGAGAGGTATGAACAGAGGTTTGTCACACGACCTCATACGTCATGTAAAACTACCTTCCGTAGAAAGGTATGAACAGAGGTTTGTCACACGACCTTATACATCATGTAAAAACTGCCTTCTATAGAGAGAAGGTGGAACAGAGGTTTGTCACACGACCTTATACATCATGTAAAAACTGCCTTCTATAGAGAGAAGGTGGAACAGAGGTTTTTCACACGACCTTATACATCATGTAAAAACTGCCTTCTACAGAGAGAAGGTTGAACAGAGGTTTGTCACACGACCTTATACGTCATGTAAAACTACCTTACGTAGAAGGGGATGAACAGAGGTTTGTCACACGACCTTATACATCATGTAAAATTTTCCTTCTATAGAGAGGGTTAAACAAACGATTGTCACACGACCTTATTCATGATGTCAACACTGCCTTCTCCTGTAGGGAGAAGTTGGAACAAATGATTGTCACACGACCTTATACATCATGTAAAAACTGCCTTCTATAGAGAGAGGGTGGAACAGAGGTTTGTCACACGACCTTATACATCATGTAAAAACTGCCTTCTATAGAGAGAGGGTGGAACAGAGGTTTGTCACACGACCTTATACATCATGTAAAAACTGCCTTCTATAGAGAGGGTTGAACAGAGGTTTGTCACACGACCTTATTCATGTTGTCAACACTGCCTTCTCCTGTAGGGAGATGGTGGAACAGAGGTTTATCACACGACCTTATACATCATGTAAAAACTGCCTTCTAAAGAGAGGGTTGAACAGAGATTTGTCACACATCCTTCTACGGCATGTAAAACTGCCTTTTGTAAAAAGGGTTGAACAAATGATTGTCACACGACCTTATACATCATGTAAAAACTGCCTTCTATAGAGAGGGTTGAACAGAGGTTTGTCACACGACCTTATACATTATGTAAAAACTGCCTTCTATAGAGAGAAGGTGGAACAGAGGTTTGTCAGACGACCTTATACATCATGTAAAAACTGCCTTCTATAGAGAGAGGGTGGAACAGAGGTTTGTCACACGACCTCATACATCATGTAAAAACTGCCTTCTATAGAGAGAAGGTGGAACAGAGGTTTGTCACACGACCTTATACACCATGTAAAAACTGCCTTCTGTAGAGAGGGTTGAACAGAGGTTTGCCACCCGACCTTATACACCATGTAAAAACTGCCTTCTATAGAAAGGGTTGAACAGAGGTTTGTCACACGACCTTATACATCCTGTCAAAACTGCCTTCTGTAGAGAGGGTTGAACAGAGGTTTGTCACACGACCTTATACATCCTGTCAAAACTGCCTTCTGTAGAAAGGGTTGAATAGTGGTTAGTCACACGACCTTTTTCATCATGCCAACACTGCCTTCTCCCATGGGGGCAGTGAAAGAGAGGTTTGTCACACGACAATTCTTCTCCTGTAGAATTATATAGTTTGAAAACGATTCCATGGCTTAAATCTTGGAAATAATTTTGAAGATTTATTATCTGTTTGAAGTATTACGACCGCCTACATGGTCTAGTGGTAGAGGGTCCGCCCGGAGAGCGGAAGGTCCTAGGTTCGATCCCCGGCCGCGTCATACCAAAAGACGTTTAAAGATGGTACTTATGGTTACCCTGTCTGGCGCTCGGCATTTAGGGGCTAAAACAAGGACTGGTCTGCTCGGAGTCAGTATACTGTGTCTGAGTGGGATATTCATGTTAAACGGGGCATGGTATCTCAGTGAGCTAGCACTTTAAATCGGCTTCAGTCTGGACTAGTACAAGCAGTCACCCACCCACACACACACTCTCTCTCTCTCTCTCTCTCTCTCACACACACACACACACACACACACACACACACACACACACACACACACACACACACACACACACACACATAAACATAACGTGCATGCTGTCGCTATATAAATGCAATAATCTTGGACGCGACTTTAAACCCAATTTCGCCTCACCTCACCTCACCTTGAAGCCTCACAGTGTATGTTTTTTACGAGCTTAATAATTAAATAAGTTAAAACTTCATTTTAACACATACTGCTCTCAAACGCTATCCTGTAGGTTTATTATGATTTCCCCCATAACAACTTTAGATCAAAGGGAAAATTCAGACATGTAGATAATCATTTTACATTTTTAAGTCTATGATTAAATGCACGTTTTAAAAATGATTGTCGATATTATGACTTAATGATATTGTTGGAGAAGCCACCGGACTAATACTAGTAAATACTCTGACTACTGGTATAACATTTTCTAATACTCTTCAATAATATAATGCTGCATTTGTGTTAAACAATGTAATTTCTTTGCTATGATATTTTGGACGCCATTTTTTAAAGTCCTGAGTAGTGATGGAAACTGGCAGAAATTCGGTGTTACCATATATATTTCCGATCCAGATATGTATGGCAAATTGATAAGACGCATGTCAGGTCGCCCTCGTGTCGCTCTTATATAAGTACAGCCAGCCTTCCAGAAACTGTCATGTCAACAACGAAGGGAGGTAACTCTAAATTACACTTCCTGTTACAATCAAACCACTACAGCCTCGACATTTTAAGACCGTTTCAATCATTTGCTGCCAATGGCAAACACAAATGAACACCCTACTGCCACATATTACTGTGTATCGCAACACTGACACGTTCCCCATTCGTTCGTCAGTCGGTAACTATTACTTTGCTTCAATGCATGGACAATGTTTGTCATCTTACAGTGTTCCTTTTTCACAAGTTTACACAAGCCTGACTAATGAGCAGTGTTCACGTGAAGACTTTAGTAATTTTATTCTCGCATTTAGCCGAAAGGCCCTGCCATAATCCAAAGAATGTTCAGAATCAAAGATTGTTACTGCCTGAAGATTGAGTTAAAGAATGGGTTTAGGACCGAGCATTTGATGTTCGTAGAAGGCGGGGGTTGGGATTTTATCGATAAAAATAAGAAAGCAAAGACATTCTCAGCCACAATATGTACATTTTTGCAATGCATTTTTGAAAAGAAAACAATCTGCTTTTGAACTCCTGGAATATCAAATGGTTGATCCTTTACCTGTAACCATGTGATGAAACTGTAGACTCGTGGAACTATTTCCCCTCACACTTCTCTCGATAGTTTCGGCATTTCTTTGAAAAAAATCCAAATACGTTGAAACCGAGGAACTGACTTGAACTGAAACACAAGGTATAAACATGCAGGAATCTGTAGGTAGACAAACAGAAATTATTTATACCCTCAATGTTTTTGTATTCATTTGGTTATCATCAAGTAGATGTCGTAAAATATATTATTAACCGTTAAATGTCTAAATGTCTTAAAATGTGTAAAACGAATAGATATGTGCGCTTCATTCTGATTGGTTGATAAAAAGAGAATCTCACCCGAGTGTCTTTTGATATCACATATATCAACACGTGTTGATAAAAGTGGAAAAACTCCGAGGCTTGCCGAGGATTTTTTCCACTTTTATCAACAAGTGTTGATATATTTGATATCAAAAGACACGAGGGTAAGATTTTACTTATCATCCAACATCATTCTTCAAACTTTTTCAGTTTGTAGACAGTAATTAGCAGTGTCTTAAGTGTAAAAAGTACTGCTTACAGCTTCAGTAGCAGAGCCATTAGTGATGTCATATGATTGTGACGTCATGGTAACCAATGACGTCACAATGGTCTGCAAAGCATTATGATGCGATTTCATTGCAGCGATATCTACAGTGATACCCAAGCGATATCTCCTGTGGGAGCAAGTTTTGGATGATAAACGTAATTAAATGGGATTTGACGCCCGGAAATCTTCTCCGCTATTTACTGCGCATGTATACTTTTCTTGATAAGTGCCTTTTTTCTTCAATCCCAAGTTTGGCTTGGCGAAATAACTATTACGTTAATTAAATATTGAGTTTGATAAATATTGAACAATTGATTGTGACTCTTGGTGGCGTAACCGCGAACGAACGAACAAACATGGACGTCAACCCTTTAGCCACGTACTACCACGTGGAGTTGAGTGGAGACAGCAGTGGACTGTACCAGAGGTCAGGATTCCCCTGCTGTTCTGTCGGTTGCCGTACAGTAGTTATAGCACAAGATTAATATATGGAAGTTAATAGCCCTTGTCACAATGGCTCGCTGATACAGTTTCAATTGATAGTTTAATTACTTCCGAAATCGTCATTTTCTGTAGCTGATGAAGCCAAGGGGTCAAAGTCAAAGAGTTTCTGAATGATTTGTTTGCCAGCTAAATCGAGTCTGTATACACAGACACCATGGCAAATCATATCAGAGTGTCTTTATATATATTTGACGATAAATATTGGAGGGTTAGATTGTAGTTATTATTTATTGTATGAATGTGAAGACCATCTTGATGTACGAGACCCTTTAATTGTTGTGGCAAGAAAATCATCGCAAAAACACTATCAAAGAATTTCTTTTCCGGCCCCGCTATTCATGCATGTGTATGATATCTATGTAAACTCACAAGATAAGTACGGTATTTGCGTGTGCAGAAAACACAGTAATGAACAATAATTCAGATTTTACAGTGACATGTTTGATGTTGCTATGGTATTGCGGCAAACATATGAAAGGTATTGACCTAGTACTTAATCAGTCTGACTTATCCAAGTGCTCGTGGCTGTTAGAATCCTACTGTGTTTTCGACGCACAGTTATATATGTAACCGCTCATATAAGAATTTGGAACCCAACGCGCAGCGCGAGGTGTGAAATGTTTTATTTAACGTGATTATAACTACAGATAACTAGGCTCTACATTAAAAATACTGTATCTAAATTTGTGTCATCATGTCGTCATAATCTTCAATATGTGTATAGTAATAAAACAGTCTTCTTTTGTGTACATTCACCTACACGAAATAATAATTATCATTACTATTATTGAGGATTAAAACTACATGATAAAATTCTTATTAGAATGTGAAGACTCCCCAACACTCCAGCCTTCTGCATTACCCCGATTGTCAGAAGGGTTGTGTTCCTAGTAGCAAACCCGGGTACTCTTCCAATGTAAGACAACGGATTGGGAGGTACCAAACCCTTAGGCACCGGGAACAATGGGGAGTCGGGGAGTCGGACAACTAGGTACTTGGGATGCATGCTTGACATTACGAAAGCGAGGTCCACATATTCGTCATGTTTTCCTGAATCGTGTCAATCACATGAGTGTCAAAAGGGACATAAAATTCAATGATATAAATGATTTCATTGGATTTATGAAAAAGGACAAGATCAGGTTTGTTGGCCTGGATATTTCTGAGGTTGTATACGGGCCTATTTCAAAGAATTTTGTATTTATCATTTTCCATGACACCCCTACATATTCTGGATCCATGGATGGACCTCGGTGTCAAAACCACAAGCATGGTTTGGGAGCAGATTGCATGGGAGGTACCAAATCCGAGGCACCGAGAACAATGGGGAATAGGACAACGTGGTATCCTGGGGTGTTTATTGTTCGGGAGAGAGGGCACCAGGGGTGTATTGTTCAGGAAAGAGGACACCCTGGGGGTGTATTGTTCAGGAAGGAGGACACCAAGGGGGTGTATTGTTCAGGAAAGAGGACACCCTGGGGGTGTGTTGTTCGGGGAAGAGAGCACACTTGGGGTCTATTGCTCGGGAAAGAGGGCACCCTGGAGTGTATTGTTCGGGAAAAAGGGCACCCTGAGGTGTATTGTTCGGGAAAGATAGCACCCTTGGGGTATATTGTTCAGGAAAGAGGACACCCTTTGGATGTATTGTTCGGGAAAGGGGACACCCTGGAGTGTATTGTTCGGGAAAGAGGACACGCTGGAGTGTATTGTTCAGGAAATAGGACACCCTGGAGTGTATTGTTCGGGAAAAAGGGCACCCTGAGGTGTATTGTTCGGGAAAGATAGCACCCTTGGGGTATATTGTTCAGGAAACAGGGCACCCTGGGGTGTATTATTCGGGAAAGAGAGCACCCTTGGGGTGTATTGTTCGGGAAAGAGGGGATCCTGGGGTGTATTGATCAGGAAAGAGGACACCCTGGAGTGTATTGTTCAGGAAATAGGACACCCCGGAGGTGTATTGTTCGGGAAATAGAGCACCCCTGGGGTGTATTGTTCAGAAAAGAGGACACCAGGGGTGTATTGTTCGGGAAAGAGGACACCAGGGGTGTATTGTTCGGGAAAGATAGCACCCCTGGGGTGTATTGTTCAGAAAAGAGGACACCAGGGGTGTATTGTTCGGGAAAGAGGACACCCTTGGGTGTATTTTTCGGGAAAGAGGACACCCTGGAGTGTATTGTTCAGGAAATAGGACACCCTGGAGTGTATTGTTCGGGAAAGAGGGCACCCTGAGGTGTATTGTTCGGTGAAAAATATCACCCTTGGGGTATATTGTTCAGGAAAGAGGGCACCCTGGAGGTGTATTGTTCGGAAAAGAGGACACACTGGGGTGTATTGTTCGGGAAAGGGGACACCCTTGGGTGTATTGTTCGGGAAAGAGGACACCCTGGAGTGTATTGTTAAGGAAATAGCACACCCTGGAGTGTATTGTTCGGGAAAAAGGGCACCCTGAGGTGTATTGATCGGGAAAGAGGACACCCTGGGGTGTATTGTTCGGGAAAGAGGACACCCTGGAGTGTATGGTTCGGGAAAGAGGGCACCCTGAGGTGTATTGTTCGGGAAAGATAGCACCCTTTGGGTATATTGTTCAGGAAAGAGGGCACCCTGGAGGTGTATTGTTCGGGAAAGAGGACACCCTGGGGTGTATTGTTCAGGAAAATGGGGACTTTTGGGGTGTATTGATCAGGAAAGAAGGCACCCCGGGGGTGTATTGTTGGGGAAATAGGACACCGTGGGGGTGTAATGTTCGGGAAAGAGAGCACCCATGGGGTGTATTGTTCGGGAAATAGGACACCCTGAGGTGTATTGTTCGGGAAAGATGACACCCTGGAGTTTATTGTTCGGGAAAGAGGACACCCTTGGGGTATATTGTTCAGGAAATAGGACACCCTGGAGTGAATTGTTCAGGAAAGAGAGCACCCTTGGGGTATATTTTTCAGGAAAGAGGGCACCCTGGAGGTGTATTGTTCGAGAAAGAGAGCACCCTTGGGGTGTATTGTTCGGGAGAGAGGACACCCTGGGGTGTATTGTTCAGGTAAGAGGGCACCTTGGGGGTGTTTTGTTCGAGAAAGAGAGCACCCTTGGTGTGTATTGTTCGGGAAAGAGAGCACCCTTGGTGTGTATTGTTCGGGAAAGAGAGCACGCTGGATGTATTGTTCGGGTAATAGGACACCGCGAGGTGTATTGTTCAGGAAAGAGTTCACCCTGGGGGTGTATTGTTCAGGAAAGAGGGCACCCTGGGGGTGTATTGTTCTGGAAAGAGAGCACCCTTGGGGTATATTGTTCGGGAAATAGGACACCCTGGGGGTGTATTGTTCGGGAAATAGGACACCCTGGGGGTGTTTTGTTCGGGAAAGAGAGCACCCTTTGGGTGTATTGTTCGGGAAATAGGACACCCTTGGGGTGTATTGTTCGGGAAATAGGACACCCTGGGGGTGTTTTGTTCGGGAAAGAGAGCACCCTTTGGGTGTATTGTTCGGGAAATAGGACACCCTGAGGTGTATTGTTCAGGAAAGAGGGCACCCTGGGGGTTTATTGTTCGGGAAAGAGAGCACCCTTGGGTCTGTATTGTTCGGGAAATAGGACACCCTGTGGGTGTATTGTTCGGGAAAGAGAGAACCCTGTGGGTGTATTGTTCGGGAAAGAGAGCACCCTTGGGGTGTATTGTTCGGGAAATAGGACACCCCGGGGGTGTATTGTTCAGGAAAGAGGACACCCTGAGGTGTATTGCTCAGAAAAGAGGACACCCTGGAGTGTATTGTTCGGGAAAGAGGACACCCTGAGGTGTATTGCTCAGGAAAGAGGACACCTCGATGTGTATATTTAAAAAATAGAAATTAATCTAACGCACCACAAGGAGCATATATATACATTTGTCCTTTTCTATAATTTAAATCCGAATAACGCTTTTGTGGTTATTTTTGGCCGTCCGACCACATTGCAAATAGTCATGTGACCCTTATTCTTTACAAATGATTTATTGTCTCAAGTATCTAAGTTTTGAATAAAAAACCGTATAATTATAATTTCACATTTTTCTAATGTAGAACGTCCAAAAGTACACTTACATTTTGAAAACAGCAACACTAAGTATTCTCATTATTCTTTAAAGAAAGAACCATTGAATGCAAAATTATACTGTGGTAAAAGTACATGATTATTTCACAGCGATCAGTAAATTTCATTCCATAAACCTTGTCTGCGAATAAAGTGGAATTTAAGAAAACATCTTTGCTAATCTCCAAAAGTAGCAGGGGAATAACACCTTTTTATTTCATCTTTACAATCGCCATAGATTTTCTTCTCACCCCGCGTCACGACGTCACAGCGTTCATTTTAACGCAAAGGTTATGCCGCTAGAGTTTTCATACTTTGATTATTATTGTAGCTGGAACTATAGCAATGCACTTTGTAGCCTGTCATTGTACATATCATTATTTCAAAATGCATACAGACAATCATTGGGAAAGAGTGTGCTTTTGTTTACATATTAGCTTTCGGGCGGTCTGGTAGCCCAGTGGTTAAAGCGTTCGCTCGTCACGACGAAGACCCGGGTTCGATTCCCGACATAGGTACAATGTGTGAAGCCAATTTGTGGCGTTCCCCACCGTAATATTGCTGGAATATTGCTAAAAACGGCGTAAAACGATATTCACTCACTCACTCTCACTCATAATAGCTTTCGTGTTGATGTGGCCGTCAAACCAGTTGGTTCATTTAGAGGTTATTAAGATCTGAAACCTCTGACTGACCAATCAGAAACGAGAAATTTTCAAATCAATGATAGAAATAATGTTTGTTGATAATATTTGCATGATCATTTTGCATGATCATTATATGGTCATGTAAAACTCACAAAACCGTTTCCTGTTGAACCAAAAGGGTTCCTTGCGGCCAGGTAAAGTCACATCCGGGTGTTTTCCAAGACGATTGTATATGCCAGTAGTACCACATTTGGGTTGACCAATGAAAATAAAGTACGGCAAGCAGCGCAGAATCGTAGTGGCTCGAATCGGCGAATGTCTTTGCGTTGGTTGTGCTTCCTTCCAACATGGGTTTTTATAGTCACTTAAGAATGCAGGGTTACTCTGAATTAAAAACAAAAATAATTGTAAAAACATGACACTCTAAAAATCAGATAACCCATGTTTTTTTCCGAAGTTTTAATTGTCAATCATCAAGACAAAATCATCTTATACAAAACTGTTTTTCACGCCAACAACAACTACTGTTCCCAATCGGGTGTACCGATTAATCGAACCGTCGATGCATCACAACTGTTCATCGTTCGATGGCAAATTAAAATAGTAATAGTTGTATCTCAAGCAATGCTACCCTATCGACAGTTATTCATTAACTTTTCATCACACATTGTCTGAAGAGACATCAAAATATTCCTCAAGTACAGTACTGCGAGGAAATGTACATTTTAGAGCGGTATATGTGCTAAAACTATGGCGATGCTATTACAAAAAGTGTACACACATTACAACAGCATCGCAATAGTGTATTTAACTATCGCACTTCATTGCGGTCGCATTCTTTTGGAGACGCTTTAATTTCACGATTTACGGTATTCCCTCGATAGTCATCACTAGTCAGCAATACACGACCATGTTATAGTTATACTTGACCATACATGTAGCTGAAACAGGAACTGATCAAATTAACTGTGTGAATGTGTAAAACAAAAATGTTGAATGAATTGACTTGCCTTGTGTCAACAAACCAAGAATCCTAATCTGGGCTAATCAGGGATTCGATCTCACTGACAGCGGTGTGTCTCACGCCTTAGATACGCAACTCGCCTTAGATGATAGGGTTACCCTTATGCTCCTTATCTAACTGTTCGTTAGCAAATATACATCACAACACAATATCACAAGTAGAACATAAATGTCACAATAAAGTGAAGATTATACTGGGCGCGGCCGCTGTACAGGCTGTGCAAACAGCCCAATATAACAACGGGGTTTTATATGCTTGACGACAGCTGATACAACCCTTGTTCTGGGTTTTAGGGTCTTCAGTGATAAATTAACTGTTTGATAGCCTGATTCTTACAGCAATGATAGCACGCCCGTATCTTCCAGATATATACTGAATCCAATAAAAAAAAGGCACCAACAACGTCGGCATTGTATGGCGATCCGAAAAGTTCAAATGTTGTGGTAACATAGTACACTTTATGTACACTTCACAAGAGTGCTTGTAAAACTCTCTCAGCAAACTGCCGTCATGTCAGTGGATGCGAATAAATGTCGTCATTGATTTTATGTGACGCATCATGCGATTTGCACGAATTAACACGCACAACTTTGCTTATTTTTTGTTTTATATGAGAAGTTCATTTATATAACTGAAACGAGTGTAAAACTCGTACACAATCACAACCACTTGCAATCAATAATGACGAGGGTCATTTTGAGTGTATCCTGGTCCTGAGATCCTGGCCGAGATCCTGTAGGTAAATAACGCGTTTCCCGGAATGGCTATGGCTGTGTCAACGCCGTCGGTTTACTCGTGGCATTATTACCGTTATCTGACACCTTCAAGGATTTATTTACTTATTTGCTCGATAATATAGAGCACGTATTGATAGACCATGTTTACATTTCCTGCCTTAGCGAGCACGGGGTCGACAGAAGCGGTCGAGCAGGATGTAGGCCAGTGTAATACAGCAGCACAGCAAGCATGTATTATACTTCCTACGTTTAACATAAAACTACTGTAAAAGTACACATAAACTCCTGGGCAAAAGAAAAAATTGGAAATGACCCAAAAATTACAAACGTTATAAAAACGTTATTAGATTGAAACACTGCAAACCTGAGGTCCAAAACACAACTATGATACCCGTATCTAACACATCACCATCGAATAACCATTTCTTGTTTTTTTTCATTTTTAGCCACTATCAAACATGGGTGTATGCTTTCTTTAGCCCGGCAGTTTATTTCACTAATATAAGAACGTTAACAAGAGTATTCCTGATGAAATGATCGCTGTTTCAATGATATATATTACTAATAGAATTAATGTCATTAGAAATAAAAGATATAAATATATTGAACATAAATCACATCTTATATAAACGTGTAGAGTTCCCCTGGCGTGTCTGCAGATTAAGAAGTTATAAAATATATCTGAATGATGAGCATAGAGTCCTCCAGGACGTATGTTGGGTATATGTAGAAGCAAAGACGTCACAAAAAATGTTTTCATTTGAAGACTAAACGACCTACTGGTATTTACTTGGGTCTAAGATAGAATCCAAACTTTTCGGAGAGTTTTAAACAAATACAAAATATCAAAGAACATACGGCTATTCAATATTAGTATGTGGACGTTTCTATCAGTAAGTGTCTGGAAAGTGGGACTTCCGTAGCGACATTTGTATGAGAACAATGTTACCAGGGAGACAACATAACTTTATCGCAGACCTTTCATCAGATGCACATCCACACTGTCTCTTAATGCTTTTTTCTTTCTCTGTCTTATATGAAAGCAAACTATTATTTATTAGAAACTGAGAACGCCGTGATATAACTGGAATACTGTTAAAAGCGGCGTTAAACCCAACTCACTCACTCACTCACTAGAAACTGAGAATATTTTGTGACAAAAGTGTGTGAGGGAGTTTATTTCCCCCATTTTAGCCATGTTCTGGGACATCGGAAATGAAATGAACAAATTGTACCCATGTAGGGAATTGAACCCTGGTCTTCGGCGTGACGAGCGAACGCTTTAACTACTAGACTACGAAAGATAATATGTAAACAAAAGCACACTCTTTCCCAATGATTGTCCGTGTGCATTTTGAAATAATGATATACACAATGACAGGCTACAAAATGCATTTCAATATTTGCAGCTACAATAATAATCAAAGTATGAAAACACTGGCGTCAACACAGAAAATAAACACTCCATGTACTACTCACTATGCTCATGATATCCAGATTGTTTAAGTACTGTCTGTAAGCTTTGATGTCTCGTTGTTTTGCCCCTCGCCTCAGTCTCATCAGTTGCGGAACAGCGTATGGTTTTTTTTTCCTGATAGCGTCTACTTCGCGTTTTTCGGTCTCCATTTCTGTCATAGACACGTTGTTTAGCGTGTTATGGTCAGTGTCATTCTTTGTGATCTCAACTGGAGGAATGTGAATGGTATGTAACACGTGTTCGATGTATTTAACATCCGACGAATGGACATTCAGTCTCACTGGAATTTTGTAGCTGGCGTATTCTATATTAAACATACATAGAAGAACGATGGGAGCAAGCAGCGCCCCCACGACAGACCAGTGTCTGACGACAAACGACACTGCTCTAATACAACGGCCTCTCGTCCCCATGGTCTGACCGTACACTGCGTCTCGGTGTGGCAGTGTGCTGCTTATCTGCCAATAGACTTGCTCAGGCTTCCGTTCATACTAAATCCTTTTGATACCGACCTATGTCCGTGTAGATACTACCTTGTTCTCAATCATGCTCCTACTATTTGTAGATAATCCTTTTCTCCCGGTGATATGGCTACTGTCTCTGGACCATTCTTTTTTCTCGATGTTACGGCTACTGTCTCTGGACCATTCTTTTTTCTCGATGATACGGCTACTGTGTGTGGACCATACTTCGTTCGCGATGACACGGTCGTGTAAAACACTGTTTCCGAGGATTAGTCAACATGTTGAAAATACCGTAACCCTTGTTATGTATGCCCCATGTCCACAGGACCCGCGAAGATCCGGGGTAGAATAGGTCTTCAGCAACCCATGCTTGTCGTAGAAGGCGACTCTGCTTGTCGTAAGAGGCGACTAACGGGATCGGGTGGTCAGGCACGCTGACTTGGTTGATGCATGTCATCGATCCTAATTGCGTGGATCGATGCTCATAATATCAATCACTGGATTGTCTGGTCCAGACTCGATTATTTACAGACCGCCGTCATATAGCTGAAATATTCCGAGTGCGGCGTTAAACAACAAACCAACCAACCCATGTCAACAGACCATGTAATGTATGTAACAGCTGGTGTCTCCACAAGCATACATGTTACCTCGGCCCAGGAGACACCGAGTCAGTAACGCTCCCCTAACTCTGATAGTCATCTCGACAGCACTGCGGGAATTCATATTTCAACTAATAGTCATCTCGACAGCACTGCGGGAATTCATATTTCAACTGGTTTCACTAGTTCACTTGACTAGCACATTATACAACACAATCTGGCACATCTAATTATCTAATTGTTGCTCGATTCAGGCGACGCAAGTCGCTGTTTAGACTTACGTCCCTCAGGCGTGCCATAATCTTGTGACCATGAGTTTAAAACCCAGAATCGCCTTGGGTTTTTAAAAATTCTTAGTCTGTCATTACTATACTCATGTTCCTGTTTCCCCTGCATCACTTTGGGCTTTCCTCCGACATTAAGCTAACACGCTGTGATTTGACTGAAATACTATTGAAAGCAACGAAAAATTAACTCACTCACGAACTGATGTTAATTCTCATGCAAGTTTTAAATACACACCTGTGGCTTGTTAAAATGCGTGTTATTTATCGTCAGTTTAAGTTCTATATATCACACTCTTAGTCACAATATGGCTACAACACTGCCGATGTTTAAAGTTTAACTCACTCACTCACTCTTACCACAAGCATATGCGTCCCAGGAACCTACGATCGTGGGTTCGAATCCCTATTGTCTCTGGTTTAAGACCTGCATCAATTCAGGCTTTCCTCCCAGATGAGACTGATACGTACAATCACTGACATACTATTCAAAGCGGCGCTAAACATAACTCTCCAATAGTGCTCTTTGGACAGGCATCCCACACTCACTGATCCACAAGACCTGTTTATCTTTTAGACGATATACACAGGAAAGATCGTGCCGTCACCACGAACCATAGAACAGCCAGTCTTCCACAGGTCAACATCGATCTATTCACTGCGAACGCTAAGATAACATTAGCAATCTCAACATTGTTGCCTACAGCCTTGTGTGTGTGTGTGTGTGTGTGTGTGTGTGTGTGTGTGTGTGTGTGTGTGTGTGTTACTGACAGCATAACCCTTACCCCGCCACTGCTGTCGCCAGACTCAACCATGTGTGTTGACATACGCGCAGCCCTCTACGATTCACTGATCAATGCGTACAGCAAACAGACGAAAGCTCCTATCATAGCAGTTGACATAACAAACAGGAGAATGCTCTGCATGGTCATTTCACGACGGTCTAAATACTCTACACAAACTGTTCAGACACAGGTTCTGTTTGTTCTGTATTTTGTGGTTCTTACTTTGAATGAATCTTTGATTTCACGTAAAGAACACTGTCTCTTTCACATCTCTTAAACAACACCTTTTCTTAAACAGCGCTCAGTGCCCTTAAACAGCGCCATTTCTAAAACAACGCTGTCCATTACAAAACACCCTTCATTAAACAACGCCGTCCCTTAAACAACACCGGGGAACATTATCTCTGCAACAACACATCACTTACTTACATTCCTGTCAGATTTGATTCTGTCTTCGGTTCACGTGACACTCAGCAGTATTTCAGCTGTATGACGGCGACCAGTAAGTAATCGAGTTTGCCCAAGACAATTTAATAACTAATATTATGAGCAACGATCCACGCCTTGGGGATACGATAACCCGCCATCAACCAAATCACCGAGCCTGACACCCCATTCATAACGTCTCCTCTTGCGACGAGCATAGGTTGCTGCGGACTAATTCGGTACCTCCACTGGGGTCCCGTGAGCCACACCCAACATGTCCGCCATGGGAGTACCTGTACTTCCCTCACTTGATCAGATTCAAACCATCACAGCAGCTTCAATTGATATCAATATCATTTCATTGTACCGTTGGTGGAGCAAGAAGTCGTTCTTACCCCAACCCACTTAATAACGTCCGACACGAATCCCTTGGTTTATAAAGAATATATAAATGATTTCAACGGAGCTGCAGTGTTGAATCCAAAGATCACACGGTGGCAAATAAGTTATTAACAAGACGTTATTTACATTACTTGTGATACAGGGCTCATGAATACACAATTTACAATGTACAGTTTGTGAGAAGGAGTGCATATGTGTAGATACACTTAAGATGTTTCTATAAATTTCAAAGAAAACACGGTGTTATGTATTTCCAAGTATTGTTACGTGTTGATTCCCAAATTGAAACAATATGTCAACCTAGAATTATGTACGTGAGAGAACTTGGCGTGAAACCAACAACCAGTTCTTTAGTTGAACTGATATCCGACTTCAAATCACTGATATTTCTTTTCATGGATCTGATCTCATTCGTAATTGAACGTATATCTTTAGATAACCTGTCCTCTGATTCCTTGATTTGATTAATTATAGCGTTCTTGAGGTCGCCTTGTTCACTACCAGAGGGTCCAAGGTTTAGTTCAATGTTGCCGGATCTGTGTAACAACGTGGGTACAAACGGGTGATTTGAGTCATGATTGGAATCTCTTGTGTTCGACATGTAAACATGTTTAAAACAGGTAAGAATCATAAACGCCAATGATAATTCCGCCGTATTTGACGGAGTCAGGGCTGTCAAATGTGGCATCACCAAACATGTGGCCGGCGTGATTTACAGAAATGATTTACTGAGAGGCATTATGGGTGAATATCCCTTTTTCGGCCTATACAAGAACTGAATCGAAGTGAAAACTGTAAGCTGCTATGCGTCGTTGATAAGAGTTCCATATCATTGGCCGATAAGACACATGGTATATATATGTCAAGTAACAGAGAGATCAGTAAGACCAAAAAACATGTTAACATGACACCACCTTGCATGGCACCCTGTTTAACTGGAAACTCATCAGATCTTCTCAGTTGTGTGATATTAAAGCCGAGCTGCGCGTATTACTATGATACCAAGCCCCTTGATAACAAGACCCTGTCACTTGACAAATAGGCCGCCATGCAAAATACGATGGAAAGCCTTCTCATGGTCTACAAATACAGCAAACACTTGTAATTCTCTTTCTACAAAGAAATTAACACATTCTAAAACGATGAACTCCATGTTTTTTTCTGAAACAAAACTCAAAAGGATTGAAGGGTGCTGAATATGCATTTTTCTGTTCTACTTAAAATGGTACGATGTAAGAGTTATTCCCCTGCAGTTACAGTGGTCATGTTTGCCGCTTGTGCCTGTATAAACAGGTATTACCATACCCTGTCTGAAGGCACATGGGTTGTGCTGGGATGCAAGTATATGTCTGGCCAGGCTGGAAAGAACACGCCTCGGTCAACCGACCTTGGAGGAAACTGTGAAAGGTTTCCGAGAAAAGGTTAGCTGAAAATATATTATTAAACAGGAAGACAGAATTACAAGCTTCTATTAACAGTGTTAAAGCCGAATTAACGGATGTGAAAAATTAAGCTGACGGGACCACACGCATGATATCTATTCACACCGACGACATTGAAGAACTTCGAGAAGAACTAAAGAAACTTACAGATGCTTACGTACATCTGGAGAGACAAGTCGTAATGAAAGATATCCAGGATCGGAAAACGAAACTATTATTCTACGCTATCGCAGAAGAACCAGAAGAAAACACACACAAAAGTTGGAGAAACTGTTTCATTAGTCAGAAGGTGAACATTGTCCGTCTGTCCCTTCAGCATCATAGTCAGCTTTCTTCAGGACAGAGAGGCAGTGGTTCAAGGCCGAACACTGTTACATTACAAGGGACAAGCTGTACCATTCAACCAGATACGACAGGCCAACACAATCCGTGAAACATACAACCTGCTGACCTGAGTCCGAGTAGCTGGTTCCGACGTTATCCTGGAAACCAGGGACCCCGCCATCCCACATTCCACCTGGCAAAAAATACAACTAAAACGTTAACAATTGCAACGTATACTTTTTTGTGGCTGTGTTACTCTCGGTTGACTTATCGTGTGCACACTGTGGTGTGAACATATTCTCTGAAAAACTAACTATGGAAACTCCGTCTCGTGATGGGAATTCATACTTTTCACCGCTAATTTTCTGTCATAAAACATTTATATAGTTTACGGACAGGTTAAAAAATACATATTAAGTTTTAACCGGTTTAGCAAAGACTAAACAGCTGTATTTATGTCAATGTATTCCATGTAACCAGATACATGTGAACAGTTTCTTGAATGCACGTGGACGTGCAAAGCGCGGGCCCATTACATGCGACTGGGAGATTCACGATGTTGTGAGCTCGATATTTATTGTTTGTGAATTAAATATGGATAGCATGTATCATTCCTTGGAAAATTATCACGTTGATTGTGAATGTTTGGGTTCTTTGTGATTCTGGAGTTCCCTTAACTTTAGTGTACTACTATACAACACGTCGCGGTTTTTACCTGGCTTGTGGCAATTTCTTAATGGTGGCTCAAACTGCATTATTGATATAAACTATACATTATAGTAACACAGCTAGCTTCAGTTAAAGCAAATACAATCTTTAAAAAATATTAAATTGATATATACTCACACGCAAAAGAAACGCAAGTGGTTTTAAGCAAATAGGTAACAAACACGGAACCATACATTGATACGAGTTTTAGCATGTAGTGAAGCCTGATTGTGTTATCAATATTTTTGGCTGCATTTTTGAAGCCCCGAGTAAAAACGCACCATTTCAATGAATATGTGGGTATCATGCACCCATTTCTCGTGAAATCGAAAATGCTAT